GTAGAGGTCCGGGGAGTAGGGGTATGCGGTATCGGTACTTCTTGGTTTCCGCATGAAGGGGAGAAGGAGGGAGGAGGAAACAGGGGCAACGTAGGGGATAGACTCAGGGGCGGGATGCGTCGATTTCAATCGATAAGGGCCCAATGCAGCGACCACGGTCCGTGTCCGTGCGGTTTCGCAATCGAGGGCATATCGCCGATCTATCGGCGATGCAACGGCGATTCCAGCTCGATGCTTCCCCCCCGCTTGAGCTGGTCCCCCATTCTCATTGCCCCCGAAGGAGGAGGAGGGAGGAAGGAGTGAGCAGCAAGAGAAGGCGGATGAGGGAGGAGAGCGAGGATGAGCAGCAGGGTTAGGTCAAGTCAGCCAGGTCGAACGAGAGTCAGCGGGCCAAGCCCACACCCGCATGTCTTGATATCGGGACTGGAGCGCGTTCCCACCTAGCAAACGGAAAACGTTCGCGCGCGGTCCCGCTTCCGACGATTTGGGAAATCGCGGGTGGACAGAACCCCCACCCTGACATCTCAATTAGTGAATTGTCCATTTTCGGTTCTCAAGAGGGCGCTGCGGCCATCATTTTCCAGGCTTGCGCCCGCCAGGTTTTGGCCCGAGGTCGTTTTCACTAAACCACGTTTTACTAAGGGTGTCTTGTCCATCCCCGAGGAAAGGGAAAAAGAACGCGTGCCGCGCATGCGCGGATGTGGAATGGAAAAATGTAGAGCGAAACGAAAGCAAAACGAAAAGCACAAGACAGCTCGTCGCTTGGGCCCCATCGCCAGCCCAAACGGCGAGCATAAGTCTGACGTAGCCCCGCACGCATTCGAATGCTCACACCTCGTCCTCGTACTACTCGTATTCCTCCCCGTCGTCCTCCCCATCCAGATCGTCGTCGTCATCCGCCTCGTCCTCATCTTCCTCGCCTTCCTCGTGCTCCAGCTCCTCGTCGACGTCCTCGTCTAAGATCTCGTCCTCGTTTCTCATCGTCCTCTTCCTGCTCATTCTCCTTCTCCTGGCACCTCGGCCCCCCTCGCCCTCGCTGGCCCGCTTGCGGTTCAGTTCAAAGCCGCACCAGCTCACGGCCCTTGCCGCAGGGATGCCAGCGGAATGGCGGACGCCCGTCGAGTAGAACAGGCAGCGTGTTAAAGGATATTGGCAAAGAGGAGTGAGTGAGGAGGTTTCCTTGGTCTCTTCACCGCAGTAGTAAACGCAAGGTCAGCTCCCCCACGGGGGCGTCAGTCGGCATCGTCGGCCAACCCTTGAGTGAACGAGTTCAGGGCGACCAGCTCCACAGCTCGCCCTGCCACTTCTGCCATGCACTTGAGCCGAGAGTCACAGGCAGCTGGGCGGAGGGCAGTGGTGCGTCGCATGGACCCCTATAACTCTTCTCAAAGGTCGGCGGCAGACGGCATAGGTTGCGCCCTCGATAAAACCGACTCGTATTGGTTGCGCCATCGGTTGCGCCTTCGGCCGCCGAGAATAAAACCGTTTCCTATCGGTTGCGCCACAGGTTGCGCCCTCGGCGGCCGAGAATCAAACCGTTTCCTATCGGTTGCGCCACAGGTTGCGCCCTCGGCCGCCGAGAATACAACCGTATGTTATTGGTTGCGCCACAGGTGGCGCCCTCGGCCGCCGAGGATAGAACCGTCTCCTATTGGTTGCGCCATAGGTTGCGCCCTCGGCGGCCGCGAATCTAATCGTCTACTATTGGCTGCGCCATGGGGTGCCCCCTCGGCCGCCGAGAATTAAAACCGTCGCGCAACGGGTGCGCCACAGGTTGCGCCCTCGGCGGCCGAGAATCAACCCGTCACACAGCGGGTGCGCCATAGGTTGCGCCCTCGGCCGCCGAGAATAACATTGTTTCCTATTGGTTGCGCCATAGATTGCACCCTCGGCCGCCGAGAATAAAACCGTTTCCCATTGGTTGCGCTGTAGGTTGCGCCCTCGGCCGCCGAGAATAAAACCGTTTCCTATTGGTTGCGCTGTAGGTTGCGCCCTCGGCCGCCGAGAATAGAATCGTCTCTTCTTGGTTGCGCCCAACCGAGGATAGAACCGCTTCCTATTGGTTGCGCCATAGGTTGCGCCCTCGGCGGCCGAGAATCTAATCGTTTCCTATTGGTTGCGCTACAGGTTGCGCCCTCGGCGGCCGAGAATACAACCGTCTCCTATTGGTTGCGCCACAGGTTGCGCCTTCGGCCGCCGAGAAAAATACCTTCTCCTATTGGTTGCGCCATAGGTTGCGCCCTCGGCCGCCGAGAATAAAACCGTGTCCTTTTGGTTGCGCCATAGGTTGCGCCCTCGGCCGCCGAGAACATAGCAGTCGCGTAACGGGTGCGACCAGTCAGTGGTCAGTCAGGCAGTCAGTCAGTCAGTCGGAGTTTACTTCGCCAGAAAAGCCGGGTGACGCCCGAAAACAATGTTCAGGTCCGGCCCTGGGATAAAACATGCGACGCGCCGACACAGCGCTGCCACTTTCACGCGCAAACTGCGCTGCGCCTGCGCGGGGACAACAGCTCGCCCGTCTTCGCGCGGCCCCGCTGCCGCTGCCGCATCCGTGTGATTCGGCGAGCGAAGCATGCGCCGCGCCGCGCCTGAGCGGGAGCGCCACTTCAAGGGGAAGTCTGCACGGAGATTGAGCTTGGGCGACAGGTCGCCCGCTCGCGCGCGGTCACGCCGCCAGTGACTTGGCGATTGAAAAGAAGGCGCCGGGCCTGGGAGAAGCGCCACTGTCAAGCGATGCGCGGCACCGAGGCGGGAGCGGCATTTTCGTCCGCGCATTCGACGAGTTGGGGCGTGCAAAATGCGCGCAAAGCGGGAACCGACTTCTCAGGGAAAACGAGCGCGGCGCCGCGAAAAGGTCGACATTTCGCCCTTTCGTGCGCCATGTGCGCCTCGCCCCCCACGCAGGTTGCAGCATCGACGCCCAAGCGTCCATGCTGAGTGGCTTTTGATGGGCATGACGGAAGGGCCCATAATTCAGCGGCTATCGGCTGGTTACATGGCAGCGTAGGATTAAGTCGGGCCTGTCCCTCTACAGGAGGAAAATCACCAAATAGTCAACAAAAACAGTCTGGGGACGATTGTTCGATTATTTCGGATTATGCTTCGAATATGTTTTGACTATTTTTGCCTTGTCCTCCAAAATCCGCCTGTAGGGGGACATGCCCGACCTAAGCGTAGGAACACGGCAAGGTGGCCAGGCTGAGCGAGTCATTGGGCCCCGCCCATACCCACCCTCCTTGCCAGAACAGGGGAGCGAAGCGTGACACAATTCGGTGTTTGGATGTGAGCGCGAGCAGAAAAAATTCAAGGAAACACCTTAGCACAAGCGACGATGATGAAGCGTGACGCACTTTGATGTGTTCCTGCTCGCGACATCCTTTCGCTCGGCTCGTGCCGCGAACGGCACGCGCGCGAGCTACAGGGCCAACGCCGAAGCATGCTCGTGTCTGCGAGGAAGACACATTGGGATGCGAGCGCGCTCCCACCCAGCGAGGACGTCCGCGCGCGGTTTCGCGTCGGATGACTTGGCGACGGGGGCGGCTGCGCAGGCCGCGCAGAGGCGGGGGCGGGCGGGGTTTAAGGAGCTCCTCGCGCTGCGCTGCGGTGGGACCACGATTCCGCCATCTCTCGGGCGGCCGAATTTCCGAGGAGCGTTGCGAAGGTCCCGCACGGCCCCACTGCTGCTGCCGCGGTGTGCAGAACATGCGCCGCGCTCACGCGCGAACGCCTTTTTCAAGCGCGATGTGCACGGAGCTTCGGGCGCGCGAGCCACACGTCGCGCTTTCGAGCGGGGCCCCGAAAGACTTGGCGGGTGATAAATCTGCGCTGAGCCGAGAAGGGAGTGCCACTTTCGGGCGACATGTGCGCGGTGGCGAAGCCACTGCTATATTTTCATCCGCTCGCGCGTCGACGGACTGGCGTGCGAAAGAAATCTGGCGCGATCATGTCTGGGCTCTGAAAGCTTCGAAGTGGCCTTCCAAAGCCCTTGCATCCTTATCGCGCATCCTCATGGTACGGGCCGACTGTGCATAGAGACCCTTGCGTTCTCAGAGCGCTGCCCAACGGCACGACGGGGGCCGGCCGAGGGGCGCGAGAGGACCAGCAGGGCTCGCGCAGGAGCCCCGACCCCCAGGGTGAAGTCGGGCATGTCCCTCTACAGGAGGAACGCTCCAGAAATGCCCAGCTTTGGCGCGTCGACGGACTGGCGCCGCGCCAAACGTGAGCTCAGTTCTCTGGAACACGGAGCGCGGCGCCGCGGCGAGAGTGCCGTGGCGCCCCGTCGCGCGCGATGCGCGCCCCGTCCCACTCCCGGCACGCACGTTGCAGCGTCGGCGCTGAGCACTTGCAGGAAGCTCGTCGGTTCCGCACTGTCGCTTCAACAGGTAGGACGGTCTGCCTCGGATGGGCCCGCCATGGCTGGCCGGGGGGCAGCGTTGGAGCATCCATCCAGAAGGGAGAAGGATGGGGAATATGCATACGGATGAGGCAGGGGGAAAGAGGAGGAGGAGAATGGAAGCTGATGGGAAGCAGACATTCGCACGAGGGTGAGGAGGAGGAGGAGGAGCAGGAGCAAGAAGACGGTAGAAGGGAGGAGGGCGGATGAGGAGGAGAAAGAGGGCAGGAGGGAGGAGGAAGGTGGAAGGGAGAGGAGGGAAGGAGTGAGGGTGGGAGGAGGAGAGCGAGGATTTGTTGGACAGTTTGGGAGATCTAGTGGGGATTCTGAATGACTCTGCGTTTACGTTGCATGGGTTCAAGGCTTCCTCCCCCTCTTTCCCGTCCCCCCTTACATTCCTCCGTGTTCCTCCTCGATCCTCTTCGTCTTCGCCGCTGCTGCCTTTTGTCCCACCAGCCCCTGCTGCGAAGCCGAAGCCGACGACGACGACGGCGACAACAGTTCGACGACGACGGCGATGAGCGACGACGACGGCAATGCAACATGAGGACGACGGACGACGAGAATGACATCGACGACGACAACGACGACGACAACGTCCGCCCAGGTCGTGAGGGCGTACTACAACCCCTTTGCGAACACTTGGCACAGGCTTCCCGAGGCTCTCCCCTCCTGTACGGCTTGCCTCTTTCTTTTATTATGGTTTCCTTCACTTGCCTCTATTTTTGTTTCGTTCCTCCCTCTCCCTCTTCCTCTCGTCATCCCTTCTCCTCTCCCTCTCTAGTTCCTCTTCCTCTCTCCTCTCGCCTCCTCCTCCTCCTCCATCTCCTCCTTTCCCCCCTCCTCCATACAGTTCCTTACAACTAATTCTAGGCGCTTCGCGTAACCCCACCAGCTTGGCGCCTTTGGCGGCTTCCTCTTTGTGGCCTGGCCCTCACTAATTATCTGGCACTGCGCCCCTGTGCCTGTGTTGAACACGCCCTCTGGACTTTTCCTTGCGGGCCGCCGAACAAAAAAGTAACCCCAGCAGCGTCTTTGCGCGGCCCGCTCTGACTGGACTCGCCGCTGGCGCTCTCGCCTGCGGCCGCTGACAAAAAGTAACCCCACCAGCCCATCCAGACACGATGCCCAGACGAGCTGCCCCCCCTGATCAGGGATGTGGATTAGCTCGCAGTGGAATAGAGGGCTGGGAAAGACGTCATACCGCAAGAGGGGGATGATGAAAAAGGATGCGGAGGAGCAGGAGGAGTATGGAGAGGGGAGGGGAAGGAGGAAAGAGGAGGAATAGACGGATGAGGAGGAGGAGGAGGAGGAGGAGGAGGAGGAGGAGGAGGAGAAGGAGAGCGAGCCTTCTGGATCCCTCTCGGAGTCTCTTCGGATTGCTTCTGAGAGCTAACTGGAGTCCTCTTGGGGCGATTTGGGGTTCTTGAGGCAGTCGCAGGTGCCTCCTGGGGCTTGTTGGGTGCCTCTGTGGGCCCCTTGGGGCCTCTTGGGGGCCTCGTGGGGACCTCATGTGGTTGTGCGCACCTTGGGGGCCTCTTGAGGGTCTCTTCGGAGCCTCTTGGGAGCCTCTTGGGCGCCTCTTGGGGCTCTCTTGGGGCACCCTTGAGAGCCTCGGGAGCCATCTTGGGGCCATCTCGGAGGAAGTCGATCAAAGGAGGGGCCGTAGTAAATTAGGCCCCCCTCCACAGGATGCCAAAATGTGGCCAAAACTCCGTGATAGAATCAATGATTTCGGCCTTCCCGCCGAGGCCCAAAAAACGCTCAGACACCTCGCCCCCCCTCCCCCCTCAAGATTTAGGGGGGGGGAGGGGGACATCCCATCCCCGAAGGGGAGGACGGGAAAATGGAAGAAAGTCCCTAAACCACTCGCGCCCTAAAGGGCTGGTGGGTTTCCTCGCTGTCGCACCCCCCGAGGTGCCCGTAGGGCGGGTCAGGCGTTTCGCCTTAGACTTCCTCACAACGTATGACCCTGAAGCTTATAACTTGCAACAGGTTCACGGATGTGGTTCTCGCCTTAGCGCCGCGCACAGTCGTCTTAAAAGCGTGCAGTCGCGTCAAGGACAGAAGGCGGGCCGGTTTCCAAATGTGGTTTATCGTTTTAGTGCCATTGCATTCAGAGAGCGCGCTTCCACGGCGCATCGGCCACCTTCGTCGCAGGCCTCGAAGATCAGTCGGCGAAGGTCAGGGAGTATATGACTGGGGTCGCCCGTGTGCGGTGCTCTGGTCCCTCGCCCAAGCAAAAATGGGCCGTCCTGCGCAGGCCGCCGCCTTATCGGGTTGCGGCCGCCGCAATCGCCCACGAACTCGTTGTGGTCGGCAAGAGCCGCTGGCAGTGTGCGCGCTGCCTCAGATGCAAGACGTCGAGGCTGGCCGCCCTCGATCGCAAGGACTGCCGACTCGGAGATCGGCTCCCCACTTTTGTGCGTGTCGAGGCCCACTTGGATTCGCATGATGTTGACTGGTGCGAGGCGTCAGCCAGGCCTGGAGCTGCCGTGGGCGAGGTTCTGCTATTTTGCAAACGGTGCTCCATGTACGCCACCAACAAGATTGTTGGGCTTGGGAGTCCGTGTCCTGCGTCTCTTCCTGGACGGGAGATGAACGCTGCAGCGCGGCACAGGCGGAGGCGTTACCTCAAGGGTATGCATCTCAGGTGCGGCGAAGATGTTGTGATACTCGCTAGCTGGTCGATATCGCGCCGTGCATCCGTCCCCAAGGCGCCTGTTGCCACACAGGCCAGTGGGTAGCGTTCCGTTGCCAGCCGGTTGCATTGCAGTCATTACGCACGGAATGAACAAGATCCACATTGGGGCCATGCCCGCGAAGGTGTTGCGCCGATTCGGTTCGGGGTGGGGAGAAGAGTTCTTCGGGAAGAGGGGTTGGTTGTGTACGCACGCGCGCGCGTGTGCGTGTGTGGGTGGGTCTGGGTCTGTGTGTGTGTGTGTTTGTGTGTGCTTGCGCGTGTGTGCTTGCGTGTGGTTGTGTGTGGCTGTGTCTACCCCGGCGTCTTGGTTTCATCGACTCTTTTGTTGGGTTGGTAATGTTGGTGTTGCGTAGGCAGGAAGCAGAAGATCGTGGGAAGACAGTGCACAGGCAAAGATTGACAAAATTGAGGAGGAGGAGGAGGAGGAGGAGGAGGAGCAGAGGCTGAAGTAGGAGTAGGGTGGAAGACATAGTCAGGACGAGCAATGCCACTAGGCCCATGTTTGCGTCAGTGAGGGACATTCGCAGCCATAGCAGAGGAAGAAGAGTAGGAGGAGCAGGGAGGAAGAATTGACGAGCAGGAGGAGAGGGGGTTGGAAGAGGAGGAGGAGGAGACGGCGGAAAAGGAAGAGTTGGAGGGGGGGTCAAATGGGTGCATCGTGTTTTTGTTGGCCCTCGGGACTTTGGGGAAGAGGGAGGAGGAGGGAGGGCGCAGCCAAATTATCACAGGAGGAGGGGATGGCGTAGTGTGCAAATATTCCCTTGCTCCGACTCGGTCTGCATGCCATGGCCGCCGCCCGAGCGCCTGCTTGATTGGCGAGAGTCGCACCGCGCGAGGGATATGAGCCGCCGGGCAGCATGGACCTGACGGCGTGGCACAAGAAGCGGAGCCTGGCGCGTGGCTTGGGAAGGAGGAGGAGGAGGAGGTGGCGGCCTGGTGCGCCAGAACACCGATTCGGAAACCTCGACTCTGGAAAACAAGGTCCTTGCATTTGAAGAAAGTTTGGTTGGCACATGGCCCTGGCGAAGAGCAGCATGAGCAGGACACCCGTACTGACGATGCCAGAGAGTCGCAGGCGCCCGCCCGCCTACCTGGCAACAGCTCTCGGGACGCAACTGCAACCTATGGGCACAAAAACGGGACAGGCCAATGGCCACTTGAAGTCAATTCTCACGGAAACCCCTGATTGTGCTTGGACCACGTCTGGGAGTCATTGCAGGAGAGAGTCCGAAAATCCGCCCAAAACACAGTGCAGATGTAGCTAGGCGGTGCATTTTCCCAGCCTTGACGTCCCAGTGCGCGCCGATATAAATCTCGAACCTCGAAAGGCCCCCTGACGAATATGATCCCCGATTTGCATAGGAGCCAATTTCGACAAGTCGCGCCATGCCCCGCCATCAGCAACAATTTGGGGATGGCATTGAAAGTCTTGCCCGACGCCTCGCATCACCAGCCGAGTCACGTCCGCTGGAGAGGCGGCCGATCTCCACGGGCGATGCGAACCTGGAAGCATGGCAATCGGTTGCGGAGGAGTGTTGGCCAAGACGCGCGCATTCGAATTTGTTTTCCAGACCACCGTCGCCGACATGAAGGCCACGTGCTCCGAGTAGACGACGAGAGTGGCCACCTTGCGCTAGAGGTAGTCGGACAGCGTGCGAACACCCTGCGAAGCAAATGTCGGGAGCCCCCGCAGGCCCGCCATGAAAGGGTGGCCCCTTGCCCAGACCTCCCAGTATCCTCCAAGGCCGCCCGAATCAAACCCCCCCAGAATCAGACCACCACATGTCATTGCGAAATCCGAAGTGCCCAAGGCACTCGAGGAACAAACAAACAGTTGCATACACATATGAATTTTGTGATCTCCCCTGGGACCTCTTGGATCGGCGCCAGACCGCCAGGGAGGGCGGTCCCGCGCGGCCCTCCGAAAGGTTAATGCTTGTGCAGCTGTTTGTGTCTCTGGTGGCGCGTCGCAGCGGTCCCGCGGGACCGCGGGAGAGGCCGCAGCCGCTGGAGGTGGGCGCCCCACCTCGCCCGGCCCCGAAAGGACGAAACGGCGAGTGCACTTCGCGTGCTCGGCCGGCAACTTCCACTGCTCGAAGCACCGAAGTCGCCGTGGTGGAGACGGGTCCCGAGGGAAGCGAGTCCTGAGGTTTTTCCGCCGTCTTCGTGCCCTCGGGGCCCGCCACGGGCCCTGGGACCGTCAGAGAATGACGCAGGATGAGAAAGTCGTCCTCGGGGAGGGCCCAGGGTCCAGGACCTTGGAGTAAGGCCCATGATTAAGTCGGGCGTGTCCCTCTACAGGATGGATATTCAAAAATACAAAAACATACCACGGGGACGATGTTTGCATTATGTTTGGACGATGTTTTGTTGTTTTTATAATAACAACAACAACAACAACAACAACAACAACAACAACAACAACAACAACAACAACACCAACACCAACAACAACAACAACAACAACAACAACAACAAATGATCCAAAATCCGCCTGTAGGGAGACATGCCCGACCGAAGCCCAGGACCCAGGACCCCGTTCCCTCAGGACCCGTCCCCCATGTCAACGGAACGAAGACATGACACCGTTTGCTTATTGTCGGCGGCCAGCGAGGGGGGAGAGTGAGAAGGAGAAGGCCTCCTCAGAAGGCAGCGGGGCTTCCCAGCAGCCCAGGAAGTTGTCGCTGTCATCGGGGCAGGCTCAGGAAACTTCACCAAAAGGCTGGAGGCCTTCCGAGCCTGCTGAGAACGCCCGCCCCGCCCCTTCCCAATTCCCCCCCCTCTCTTGCCACCGATACTGGTTGGCCACCCGTGCCGCTGGCCCGTAGTCTGCAGCGCACTGTCGTCTACCTACAGTACTGCGCATGCGCACCAACTGCTGGCGCTCCCTCGCGCCCAGGAGGCCCACATTGGCCCAGATTTTCATGACAAATCAATGTGTTTTCGCTTTCTCGCTGAGGCCTCCTTGGACGCTCCCACTACCCATGACACGACACCCCCCGTCCAGACCAAGGAGGAGGGAGTATGAGGGAGAGGTCAAGCTATCCCAAGCCGCAAGCCGTGACGCTCACTTCCACCGGCCCGCGCACCAGGTGCGCCATATTGGTCAGTATGTCGGCCGCCCCCCAATCCTTGTCAGAAGCCGATGCCAATGACGGCTGGTTGGCGGGCGCGGGTGTGCACCCGCAATCACGTTGCAGCTGCTTGTTCCCAACCATCTTATGGTGTTGGGTTTTCGTTTTGAAGAAACGGTCCCCGCGTTCCTCTTCTCTCCTTCCTCCTCCTCCCGCTCCTCCCTGCGTTTCACCCACTCAGTACAGCGCTTCGTGGCCTTATAGGGAGCTCCACCGAAGGTCCCAGTGCTATCGCCCGCATGCGTCCCTAAAACCCAGTTTGGCACACCACTCACACGCTTCGTGGCCCCATAGGGAGCCCCACCGAAGCCCCAAGTGGGACCGCCCGCACGCGTGCCAAAAATTCAATTTGGCACACCCCTCACACGTTTCGTGGTCCCATGCGGAGCTTCACCGAAGCCCCCAGTGGGACCGCCCGCATGCGTCCCAAAAACCCACTTTGGCACACCCCTCACCTGTTTCGTGGCCCCATGGGGGGCTCCACCGAAGCCCCCAGTGGGACCGCCCGCATACGTCCCCAAAACCTTTGGCACACCCCTCACACGCTTCGTGACCCCATAGGGAGCTCCACCGAAGCCTGCAGTGGGACCGCCCGCATACGTCCCCAAACATCCAATTTGGCACACCGCTCACATGTTTCGGTGCCCCAAAGGGAGCTCCACCGAAGCCCTCAGTGGGACCGCCCGCATGCGTGCCTAAAACCCAGTTTGGCACACCGCTCACATGCTTCGTGGCCCCATAGGCCATAGGGAGCCCCACCGAAGCCCCCAGTGGGACCGCCCGCATGCGTCCCGCAAACCCAATTTGTCACACCCCTCACGCGTGTCGTGGCCCCAAAGGGAGTTCAACGAAGGCCCTGGTGCCACCGCCCGCATGCGTCACTCACGCCCAGTCTGGCACACCGCTCACGCGTTTCGGGGCCCCATTGGGAGCTCCACCGAAGGCGCCAGTTGCTGCGTTTGCATGCGCCCACCGCACCTATTTCGGCACACCCATCACAAGCTTCGTGGCCCCATAGGGAGTTCCACCGACGGCCCCAGCGGTTGCATTCGCATGCGCCCCCCGCACCTGTTTCGGAACACTTCTCACGCGGTTCGTGGCCCATAGGGAATTCCATTGACGGCCTCACTGGTTGCTTTCGCATGCGCCCACCGGACAAATGTTTGACACACCTTTCACACGTTTCGTGGCCCTAGAGGGAGTTCCTCCGAATGCGGTGCATACAACGACGGTATTCACAATTGCATACAGTCAACCATGATAGTAAGGATGGGGCAATTTTCCAAGGCTACCCTTGCATCCTTGCCCCTTCTGTATTCGGCATTATTCGGCATTCTGCTGCGCTCCGCACGGAAAACGTCAACACGGCGTTCCAAGGCCCTTGCATCCTTACCGCGCATCTTTACTATCCTGGTCGGGTGCATGGTTGGGTCCTTCGCCAGGCTACTTTATGATAGGGCTATGAGGCCTGCACACCGCAGGCAGGATGCCGCCCCACCCGCCGGCCCTGGCAGAGTGAACTGTGCAGTTTTTGTTGAGAGGGATGGTGAGGCTGCACTCAGCGGGCAACATGCCAGCCCCCAGGCCCCACGCCGTCTCTCTGTCTAAAGGCTGGTCAAAGTGATCGCGGGGCGCCCGCGCATGATCCACATGTTGATAGAACGTGCACGTTGCATTGTTCTTTGCAAGGGGTGGTTGGGGGGCGTTGGCCTTGCACACAGCAGGCAATATGCTGCCGACCCCGCCGTCCCCGCCAAGAACCAATGACGCGACCGAGGAGCACCACGTGCGTATGTGATGTCGTGTGGTTCATGACCTGTGTCGCATCTTGCTTTCCCTAACGTCCAAACACAGTGTCATTCATCCTGACATCCTCTACGCAAGATCTCAAAGTTTGTAGCGCAGCATTGCGTGAATCTCCTCCACTCTACCCTTCTCTTTTCGCCTTCTTTCCTCCCTCACATTCCGCCCTGGTTAGATTCATTATTGCATGTATGGATTCAGTCAGGGGCTGCCTGACCTCGCTCTTGGTGATTAGCTTGCTGAGCTTGCCCACGTCCGTACGTTCGGCAGGCCACATACGAGTCCACTCGCACCGCAATCCGCGAGTTCATCAGCCCGGTCGTTCAGGAACAGTCCCGTGTGAGACTCCACTTCTCGCCACACTAGGCATTGACCAAGCTCATCAACCAAGCGCCGAACATGCAGGGCTAGCCGGATTCGGCGTGCTCTTGAATGTCTGCGTGCTATTTTGGTTGGCCGCGTATTCCGAGTCATATTCGATGCAATATGATGAAGAAGAGGCAGAAGAGGAAGAAGAGGAATACGACGATGTACGGATATGATCACGTATGAAAGACAAAGCGTAGAACACGGCGTTCAGCTCACCGACGTTGTTCGAATGTTGGCACGCACCCAATGTAACAAGGATCAGCTTCGGCAAGGACTGTGGGCCCGCAGAAGTCCAGCAGCAGAGCCGTTCCAGGCACGTATGTTGTGAAACCCCAGCCTGAAATCTCCTCCTCGTCCACGCTCTTGGAGGAGCCGTCGCACGACACGACAATCCCATCAGGGCGCTGGAAAAAAGAAGGCGCTGGTTGAGCAGGAAGAGAAAGCTTCCGGTGAGCACGTCGAAGTGGTTGAGGACCGAGTCCCGGCTTGATCCTCTTCAGCGGTGGAAGAGTTGACCGGTAGATCTCTTGCAGGGGCCGCGACCGCGGCAGTGCCAGATCAAGGACCACCGGCTTCCGGC